TGCCCCCAGGTGGGAAACCAGCAGCAGCAGCAGCAGCAGCCATGCCAGCAGCAGGGCCAAAGGGCAGCAAGAGGAGAGCAGCCGGAGACTAGGAGCGTAGAGAAGAGAGACAGGTGCTCCTCCCGCTGCCATCCAGCTCTGCAGCCCCAGGTGCTTTCCTTCCTCGCTCTTTCTTTTTTCCTTCTCTTTATTTCTTTCCTTCTTTTCCCCAATCTTTTCCATTTCCTTCCTTCTGCCGTAATCCCTTCCTTCCTTTCATCTTTCCCTTCCCTCCCTCCCTCGTTCTTTATTTTCCTCTGCTCTTGGCCCCTCCCTCCCTCCATTCAGATCCAGCTCCACCCCTCATCCTCGCCCTTCGCAGCCACCGGGGGAGAGAACGGTAGCGGCAGGGCCAAGGGGCCATGGATGAAGGAATCTCATCCCTCTGCCTCCATGCGCCTCTCGAGTGCACCAGTATTCCAATTCCAGGATATCAGGTTTTTGTGCCAAATTTGATAAAGATCCATCATTGTTTGAGTTCACAGTGCTCTGTGGATGTAGGCAAACTATAACTCCAAAACTCCAAAGGCCCAATGCCCTTCCATTGACTATTATTATTATTATTATTATTATTATTATTATTATTATTGCTCCTGCAGTAATTCTATCTTCCTGTGTGGCAGAAAGAAGAGGCTGGACTACATGACCTTTGGGGTTTCCTTTCAATTGTATGAGTCTTATAATACTACATAATAATAACAATACACTAATTCTATATTCCTGCCTGGTATAAAGGAGGGCGCTGGACTAGATGGCCTTTGGGGGTCCCTTCCAACTGAGAATAATAATAATAATAATAATAATAATAATAATAGTAATGTATAATAATAAAATAGTAACTCTTATTTTCCTGCCTGGCATAAAAGAGGGGCTGGAGTAGATGACCTTTGGGGTCCCTTCCAACTGAGAATAATAATAATAATAATAATAATAATAATAATAATAATAATAATAATGTATAATAATAAAATAGTAACTCTTATTTTCCTGCCTGGCATAAAAGAGGGGGCTGGACTAGATGACCTTTGGGGTCCCTTCCAACTGAGTCTAATAATAATAATAATAATAATAATAATAATAAAATAGTAACTCTACAACTCCCAAATGTCAAGGTCTATTTTCCCTAAACTCCACCAGTGTTCACATTTGGGCATAATGAGTGCTTGTGCCAAGTTTGGTCCAGATCCATGGTTGTTTGGGTTCACATTTGCTCTCCAGATGTAGGTGAACTATATCTCTCCTAAATCACTGCCAACCCTCTCCAGTATTTTTTTTGTTGGTTATGGGGGTTCTGTGTGCCAAGTTTTGTCCAGGTCTTTCATTCGTTGGGAGTCTCAATTGTCTGTGGAAGTCAGAACTGAATCTGTTGAAGGTACTGCAAAGCCCATCATCCATTGTCCATACTCCTCCAAACACGTTTTGGTGATTAATCTCTATGCTTTAATTATGTTCAATTTGTAATGATGAAAATACATCCTGCATATCAGATATTTACATAATGATTCATAACAGTAGCAAAATTACAGTTATGAAGTAGCAATGGAAATAATTTTATGGTGGGGGGGGGTCACCACAATGTGAGGAACTTTATTTAGGGGTCACGGCATTAGAAAGGTTGAGAACCACTGCTCTAAGGGGAGAGTATTTCATTCTTTTCCTCCAGTTTAATCCATTGCTCTTGTGTTCTAGTGTCTTAAACAGCAGAAAGGAAGTTTGCTTCATCTTAATATGGTATCTTTTCAAATATTTAAGTGTAACTATTTTGTCACGTGTTTACCTTAGGCTAAACATGCCCAGCTTTCTAAGCCAGGATGTCCTTAATTTTACGGAAATCAACTTTCCTAAAGTCTAGAATATATGTCTGACTATGTTTGGCTTCCCCTTTCCAATGTATAACATTCTCCAGCAGAAGATAGTACTCCATATCAGAGGATCCCGCAACCTCTATCCTATTAATAAGGTCATCCCTGTGGATTAGGAGCATATTTTAAAAATAGCTGTCCCCTTTGTTGGAGTTTCTGCATTCTGAACAATGAAATTGTCTGTATGGCGAGTGAGGAATTTGTTGGTCTATGCAGAGTTTGATTTCCAGCAAATATCAGGATAATTGAAATCTTCCATTGCTACTACAACTCTAATTGTAGAGTTGTAGTAGCAATGGATTGTAATTACAGAATTTCTTGTTTTGTAATTATCTTTTCTAGGAATGCATCATCTAAATCATCAGTATGGCTTGGAGGTCTGTAGTAGACCCATACAGTGACATCCCTGTTGTTTCTTTTCCCCCTTAATTTTTACTCAGATACTCACAACCTGGTTTCTAGGATTTACGTCTTGGACCTCCTCACAGGTCTAAATCCTAGATATTTCTCCTCCTTTCCTGTTTGGTGTATTTTTCCAAAAATAGGCTATACCCCTCTATTACTACATTCTAATCATGAGACCCATCTCACCAGGTTTCAATGCCAGTTATATCATATTTGTTTTGTTGTTTTAAGATTCAAGCTCATTTTATTTATTTTCCATGCTTTGCCCATTAGTGTAGAGCAGGGGTCCTCAAACTTTTTAAGCCGATGACTTAAGAAGTTCACAGTCCCTCAGAACATTTGGGGGGGACGGGACTATAGTTCGAAAAAAACATGTACTATGCATACTGCGCATATCTTATTTGTAGTTCAAATAATGAAATAATATATGAAGAACAGTTTTAACCATCATAAACTTACTAGTATTTTAAGGGGCAGTGTGGACCTGCTTTGGCTGGTGAGATCCTCATGTTAATTAAAATTGTTGTTGTTGTGTGCCTTCAAGATGTTTCAGACTTAGGGCAGTCTAAAGTTTAGGGCGGGGGCCAGGTAAATGACCTTGGAGGGCTGCATCTGGGCTGCAGGGCTTAAGTTTGGGGACCCCTGGTGTAAAGGCACTTAAGATAATGGGCCAGACTCCCTAGCTGCTTATTTAAGATTTTTTCCCTTCTCTTATTCAGTTATTTTATTTCTTGTCCAGTTCTCTGTATGAGTTGCAAGGCATCCCTTGTCAGAAGCCCAGCTTCATTAAATCTCAGACCATGGTTCAAGGAGCCAAATCATTCTTGGTGGCACCATCTGCAATTCCAATTATTCACTTATATTATCCTTCTCTCCCTTCCCAATCTATTTCCTTACTGGGAGGAGACATGGAATGACAAACTGTGCATCAAGGTTTTGCATACTCAAGGCCTCAAAGATAGGGAGCATTCTGTGTTTCATATATTATATCCTGTCAGATTCACACACATCTCTCTCCTCCTCTGATAAAAACTGCAACATTAGATATCCACTTCTTTAACCTCATTCTACTTTGGTTGACTTTAAATGTAGAAACTTAAATCAACTTCAGCCATAAATAAATAAATAAATAAATAAATAAATAAGCTACCTAGCTGAAGTAGCCATATGATCCCGTAGCTCTAACACTTCATTGTATTGAGTATTAACAAGGATAAAAAGCCAAGAATGCATATTGGACTGTGTTACATAAGCTAAACATTAATTACAAGATATTATTTTATGTGTTAAATTAGCATAATATAACCAAAGGACTCTGCCCGTAAAATTTACAATCAGATACTACAATCTTGGGATCATTTTAATTTCTTAATATAGATTCTAAAAGGAATTTTGAGTGGCAGCATAGCAAAATACTTGAAGGATACAGTGAGATTTGAGCATTGAATTACAACTCGGGTGAATAAAATTCAAATTTCTGCTCAGCCATGAATGACTCATTGGCTGACCTTGGTCAATTCATACTCTCTCAGCCTCAGAAGAATGCAGTAGCACACATCGTTAGAACAATCTTGCCAAGAAAGCCCATTAGGTTTTTCCATAAGTCTGAAATAACTTGAGGCTCACAATAACAAACATTTGAGGCAGTTCTGCTTTTGTTGATTTGTCATGAATGAGTAGTAATTAAACACTTGCAGAAATCCTGCTAATATAGTGGTTCTGCTCTTGTCACAAATGAGTGGTAATTAAACACTTAGATAAATCTGTTCTTTTTGGGACTCAGGTTAGACATAGAGTGAAAACAATGCCTTGTAGATGAATTCAAATATGTAGGCATCATTGGACTTGGCTACATTTTGTTACAACCTGGAATGGAATTTACTTTTCATTTCTGCCATTTGATTTATTACAAGATAGTTGACTGCCACAATATGTTTTATTGTGGCAAAATATGCTTTGGCACAAATTTTAAGGAAATGAAAACAAATGCACCTATTTTGCTGAGACTAAAAAAGCTTTGGTGCAATCCATCACACGTAGTTCAGGAGAGTCGACCTGTGTGCAGTTTCAACACTGCGTAATCTCACATGTTTCTTTACCGTAATTTGTTGGATAGCATAGTTAAACACAAAGCGTCATTAAGATTAACATGATACCCAGACAAATCTGGGACATAATTGTGCTAAAACACCAGCGTGTCAAACATTGCAAACATGGGTAAACATGTTTTCTGATCTGATGAGGCCAACATTGAACTTCTTGACCTTACTGTAATGTGCTGTGTTTGGCACAGACCTGACAATTCTCCTTTCCCTAAGAACATTATTCCTGCTGTGAAGCATAATGTTGACATCAGCATGTTGTGGGATGCTTTTCCTCAGCAGAGACTGAGAATACGTACTCAAGATTGAAGACAAGATGGATGGTGCCAACCTGGTCGCCATCCATTCTGAGGGAGCTGCAAAAATGAAGGGAAATTGCAGGAATCAGATTCAAAAAGCTTCCAAAAGCAATTTCACAAAGTATTCACCTATTCAAAGGTGGCAGGTATTTTAAAAAGAGATTTGGGTTTTGAAAAAAAAATAGAGAAAACACATGCATGCTTATTTTTAAAAAGGAGGAGTTGACCATTGACTTTTTCAAATATTGTCAAATGAGTGTCGTGAATTCTGAAAGCATTGATTTTTATTGGAACAAAAGATAAGTATTAATTACGAGGTACTCGAAACAAAATATGTGATCATCTAGCAGCAAGATTTCAGTATGTGCTGAAATGGAAGAATCCAGAAATGCTAACCAAGGAGGAATGGTTGCTGAGATTGACAGAAATTGACAAATTATCTTGCTTGATTAGGGAAAAATCAATGCCATTTTAAAAACTGGAAATTAGTTTTTAAAGAAAAAAAGAAAGTGGTTTTATAATATTGGCTTTCAGCAATTACTGAGGTATAATATAAGAAGAGCAAGTATTTGTACTGTTAAGGAGAGGGTAGAAATAGTTTGTGTGTGTTTATAATTGCTGAGAAGACCATTGAAAGTCATAAACAGTGTGATGTATTTTTTGTCTAACATTGCAGTAACTTCTTCAAATTTCTTTCATTAATTTCATTGTTTTTCTTTTTTCACTGTTACTGGTAATTTATAGTGTATCTGAACATTTTTATTTGTTTTTTTAAAAGAAAAACAATGGAATTAAGTTTCAGAAATGCACTGAAATCCACAAGTGGTAAATGCCCAATTTGAAACCTACTGTCTCCACATGATATCTGTATCTTCATAGAATACCTGATTCAGTATTTCTTCTGATCAATCGTTTAGTGTGCTGACTGTACAAGAAATTGTATTCTACATAAAGCTTGGAACAGTGTGCCTGAAGATTAATTGAACTTCTCTTTTACAGTTAATGTTGGGGAGGATTGTCCTGTGTTTGATGGACTGTTTGAATTCTGTCAGCTGTCAACTGGAGGTTCTGTTGGTTAGTATGTCTTCGTTAGAATGGCCTATACCATTTGAAATAACAGCTTTTAAAAGGCTATCAATTAAATTGTTTGTTTTTGAAAGATACGTGAAAAGGTGTTTTTAGCATTTAAAATTGAAGAAGGCATGAGCTTATATAGATGCTTTTATAGCTTTGTGATACTAAAAAGGAATACTGAAATTAAAAGTTAAATGATTCACTGAAGAAAAAATCATAAAGCTGTAGTAATAATTCATTGCAGTGTGTGATAATGGAGTATCCAACTATAGAGGTATCTAAAATGAACACTTAAAACGTTGAATAGAAACTCCACTTTTTAACAAAGCATTTTAACTGTTTTTCTGCACAATTGTTCTTTAGCTGGAGCAGTAAAATTAAACAGACAACAGACAGACATGGCTGTCAATTGGGCTGGAGGACTTCATCATGCAAAGAAATCTGAGGCATCTGGTTTCTGTTACGTGAATGATATTGTACTTGCTATTCTTGAATTACTGAAGTAAGTTCATTCTGAAGCTGTTCCCAACATCTGACCTAGAAAGATCCTAGAAAGAAGACTTGGGTATTAAGGTTGATATGTTGATAGGACTGGCAATCATTTTTTCTACAAACCTTTTTTAAAAAGTGTAACATTAAAGAATAGCTTAACATAAACTATAAATCATCTTTGTTCTGTATAGTTTAATTTTGACATGTTTTTATTGGCTGTCTCGAAATGTCCTTGTGTGTGTTCTATCAGGTCAAAAAAGGAAAAAGGTTGTATTTTAGATGTTTTCTATTCCCATTTGTTAGTAGATAAACTCCAGCTTTAGTGTGGGTCCCCCCCCCCCCCCCCCGTGGAGCAATATTATAAATAGCATAATCAACATGAACTTCCACAGTTTTATCAAATTGCTCATATTCAGTTTAATGTGTGGTATTAGAGGACTAGTCTTGTCCTCTTTGTTTGGATGAATTCTAGTCATCTAAACCAATACAGACGTTGTAAGTTTTTAAGTATTAAAACCAACATGTTGTGTAGGGACATTTTGAAATACTGTGCATCACCTGATGATGATCTTCATTTGAACTGGATTTATGGTAATCTTAGTTGACAAATTCCAAATGGAAAATGTGGTTCCTTTGCAGGATAATGTTAGGAATTAACATTAGGAAGAACTTCCTGAACATCAGAGCTTTTCAACAGTGGAACTCTCTGCCTCAGAATGTGGTAGAAGCTTCTTCCTTGGAGGCTTTTAAACATGCTGGATGGCTATATGTCGGGGATACTTCGATTGTGCTTTTCTTGGACTAGATGGATCATGTGGTCTCCTCCAACTCTATGAATCAGTGACTGTCTATCAAAGGGGAAGATGCTGAACAACCCTAAATTGAAGTTGTTTTGATCCCGCCTTGGAGAAGCTTAGCCAAGGGGGTAAACCTGACTCCAGATCATTTGTTATTCTTTCTTCTCAGTTACACCTACAAAGGGAAGTGTGTGTATTCATGACCCACACTAAAAAAAATCAAGGGCTTTCATACTAGGTTGCATCACAAGGAGTTTCCAGTATGACTGTGCCAAGACTTAGGTCAAAAAATGTATGTGTGAATACTTTATCACAAAATACATAAAGTTTGATATGTAAATTTGATGCAGGGTAGAAGTGTTGCTTAGGCAAGCAAAACTCAACTTACTGAACTTGCCACAGCTTGTTCAAAGAGCAATATAGAAATAAAGGCAAACTGTATATGCATCACTTGTGAGTATGGAAATGTCTTAAAGAAATTGAAGGCCACCCAAGAGGCCTCACAGAAACTGGTCAAATGGGAGATATAAGTTTGTGAGCCTTAGGATTTTGTGATCAGAAGAAGTTGTATGTACCATATTTCAGAGGGGAAAACCAGAAAGACAAGACGTGAGAGCACATAAATAGTTTTGGAGAGTGAAGGAGGAACTATCGTGGGCCCTCTTTATCTGTAGGGGTTTGGATTCCAGGACCCCCGTCACAATAAAAACGTGGAGGCTCAACTCCCATATAAAGGGATAGAAGGGAACTTGAGTACCATCTGATCCTTTCAGCTCCACCCCATGGACATCCCAAAGGCAGCAGCTACCATTGTTATGCACACAATGGTGCCTAACCACCATACCAAATAGCTGCTTTTTGCCTTCTTTCTCTCTCTCTCCCTCCTTCCATGCACACCCTAGCTTCCCCTTCCCACCATAGCAACCACTTCCTGCTCTTTTGATTTCCAGCCCCATACACTCCTCAGCATCCTCTCTCCAACCCAACAACCACTTCCTGCACTTTGTTTCATACTCTTCCCCTGTACACATGCTCCAGTCACCCCAAGTGGCAGCTACTATTGCCATGCACACAGGACTCAGTCTCCCTAACAATCCCAATAACTACTTCTTGCCTTTTCTCTCTTTCTCTCTCTCCCTCTCCTTCCATTCACACCCTAGCTTTCCCTAACCCTAGCCATAACAACCACTTCCTGCACTTTTGATTTTCCACCCTATACACACCTCTGCATCTCTCCACCTCAAAAACCCACTTCCTGTACGTCCTTTCATACCCCCCCCCCCTACACATACTCCAGTCTCCCCAATAACACTTCCTGGTCTTCTCCTCACTCACTCACCTCAGGAGTCCCCGGTGGCACAGTAGAGAGGTTCAAATCTGAATGAGCTCCCTCTGTCAACTCCAGCTCCCCTGGAGCAACACCCTAGCAGATGGCCAATTCTCTCACACCAGAAGCGACTTGCAGTTTCTCAAGTCACTCCTGACACACACAAAAAAACTCACCTGCATGTGCCACAGCCTCCCCTTTCTGACAGTTACCTCCCACTCTTTCTCTTGTTTTCAGCCTAATGAGGCCCAGCTTCCCTTCCCCAACAGCTAGTTCACACTCTAATTCTCCCCCTGCCCCAACTCAATGGTTTATTACCTTCAACAGGAAGCACCACAGAACTGAATATTTTACTTACTGAAATTATGTTTGATCCATGGTTGGTTGAATGCGTGGATCCAGAGTTCTCAGGCAAGCAGGAAAGTATTCTGTGTGTATCCTCCATTGAGGAAAGGATGGAGAATTACCGTATTTTTTTGAGTCTAATGTACATTTATTTTACTAAAACACATTGCCAGAAATAGGATGTGCATTAATATAGAATATCACAGTAATCTAAGTGCCCAGCCAAGGTAAAAGGGGGAAGTTCCTTCAGAAGTGCCATGCGGCTTGGAAACAAGGAGCAGCCATGGGGAAAAGAGGAAAACTCACAAAAGAAGGAAGCTACTTGCTTTTAAAACATTTTCTGCCTCCTTTTCCCAAGGCTAGACTGCCAGTGAAGCCAAACTGAGGACTTGGGAGGTAGTGAAGAAGCCCAATTGGGAGGAAAGGGAGAGAGAGGAGAGGTAGCAGCTGTTGCAGAGGCCAGACTCGCTAAGTGATTTTTCCCAACTCCTTCACCTGAAATATGACCTACACCAATTAGTATTCATTGAGGGTCTCCCTTTCAAGTTTGAATTAGCATTGGTCTTGCTTAGTTTCCAAGATAAGTTAGGACTTACCTTGTCCCACTATAAAACTTGTTCTGAGATTTGTAGTTAAGTGAGCCCCAGAACTTCTCTTGCTGAAAGTGGGAAAAGTATCTCCTTAAACTACAAACCCCAGAATCCTGCAGGAGGCAGCCACAGAATTGAAAGTGGGTGCAGACTCAAAATCCTTTTTGGGGTTTTTTTTTGGGGGGGGGGGGGGGGGTTATTGCCTTTGGAATGTTTAGTCTGTAATTCCTTCCAGTAAACCAGGGGAGTTTTCCATGAGATTTGCTTGTAGTTCCCTTTTGCAGCTCTAAGTAGATTGGGGGACTAAAGTCTAGGACTCCAGCATAGCCCTCCTAGGATGCAGCTACACTGCAGAATTAATGGAGTTTTGACACCACGTTTAATTACCAGTACTATGTAATCCTGGGAACTGTAGCTTGGTGAGGCACCAGCATTCTTAGGCAGAGAAGGCTAAAGACCTTGTAAACTGCTGCCCCCATGAATCCATAGCAGTGAAAGTGGTGTATGGCTGCATTTATTCCAGTGTAGATTCACCCAAAGACTGGAATCATCTAGGATGCACCTATACTGTAAGAATGTATGTTGTTTGATAACACTTAAAATACCATTATTCATTGCATGGAATCCTGGGATTTGTAGTTTTCGGAGGCACTAGCCATCTTCAGCAGACAAAGCTAAAGAGCTCATAGAACTACAACTCCCAGGATTCCATCACATTGAGAAAGGGCAATTAAAGTGGTGTCAAGCTGCACTCATTCTGCAGCATAGATTCAGCCAAGGAAGCTGAAACAGGATAAATAGGAGAAGCTCCTTGGGGGAAGAGTTACATATTTCTTAGGGCTGGGCGGTTTCGTTCGTTAATTTCGTAATTCGTTATTGATTTGTATTTAAATTAGCTTACTATCCGATATTGAGCCGTGCAGGAGCAACTAAAAATCGAAACGAATTTTTCAATTTATTTCGTAATTGGTTCGAAATCGTTTCGGAATTGTTTCGTTATTATTTCCGTATGTCTGGTGCAAGTTTTATAGTTGTTGTTTGTTTTATCAGTGATAAAAAAATAAATTATCACACCAACAGTCAACAACAGAGGGAAAGGGAAGCTTCAGAAGTTCCCCCTGTCCCATTTGGAGGTTTTTTTAGCGTATTGCGCAATCGCGTCCGCCATTAACGAATCAATTCGAAATTTACAAAATTTCGTAAATAGCGAATTTTTTTAAAGAAAAATTCGGAATTCTTTTAAAAAACGAAACGCAATGGACCCCTAAAAACGAAACGAGTTTAGAAACAATTTTTTCCGTTGTTACCCAGGCCTATTTCTCTGGTTTTCCTTTCAATTTCTGGAAGATTTGGTGTCCTAACACTTGGGATATTAAAGAAGGAATTTTAAGCAGGCAGAAACTGTAATGCACACCTTTTTTGGCCAAATTACATAGCGTGCACTTTTTGCCATGGCACATTACATTCACCAGCAAATACGTTTTTTGGTTTCAGGGTTTTGAAAATTGAGGTGTGCATTACATTTCATGGTGCACTAGATTCAAGTAAATATGGTAAATTGGTGGACTAAATACAGATCCTCTAAAACAATTAGACTAGAGATTAGTTGACATAGGTTGAATACTGAAGTTTCAAAAGGAGACAAATGTAATAGAATGGATTTTTTAGAGCCCCGTATAAAGCATGCCTTTTCTTGCAGAGAAAGACAGAGTGATCATTCTATACTTGTCTCCCTAAAGAGGGAGACACCATTGTAGTTTGAAATGCAACCTTGCCTCATAGATCAGGAGCCAGTGGCGACAGTTGGGATTCTTCAAAATCAGACAAAGTTGATTTCTGTGTTTATGATAACTATAGACGGAATGGAGCAGTTATCCCTCAGTACAACCTATTAGTAACATAGGAGGGAAATTAGGTTCTGGCTGACAAAAGTTGTTTTCCAGGCCTCACAGTTGCTATAAGTTTTTTGCTTGGTTTGCAGAAGGTAGCAACTATTTTTTTTTGTTAATTGCAGTTTGTTAATTAAGTTTGTGTTTTAACCCATTAACAAATTGCTAGTATAATTATATTCCATCACCTTGTTATTTGTTGATACTGTGGCATGATACAACCTAAATTTATGAACTGGATCACTTCTATATTCAGCAATGTCCAAGAAAACTTCATGTCAATTGTTGGGGCGTTTTATATACAGTCTCAGAAGGAACAGCCCAAGATGTAGTTTGGATTTCTGAAAGAAAACCAGTGATTTTATTAACATTGTTTTCATTAACACTGCTTTCCAGGTACCACCAAAGAGTGCTCTACATCGATATTGATATCCATCATGGTGATGGTGTTGAAGAAGCATTTTATACAACAGATCGTGTTATGACTGTATCATTCCATAAATATGGAGAATATTTCCCTGGCACAGGGGATTTAAGGGTGAGTTAAGATTCAAGCTTGCCTTTTAATTGAAGATGTAATCTTTAAGACTGTTTCTCAAGTTAAAATATATTAGTTATTAGTTTCTTCTCTTCCCAACCATTATTCGTTTTCTTGAAAACTTAAATCTGACCAGAAAACAGTTAAATTAGTCATTACTTAGGACTGCATTTGTGTTGACTGCACTTGCATTCCCAGATCTACCAGATATAAACCACCAAGTTGAGGCACAAGGCTGAATCCAATTTTTTGTCCCTGCCAAAATAGATACCTTTAAATAAAAGACATATCAAAGTCCAAGTCATTCAGTAGCTCTACTTGGAACTATATTGGATATACAGCTAAATATATTAATACTTGTACATGCATGTCTTGCTCTCTATATAGTACAGCTTTCAAGATTATAATGATAAATTGCGTTAGCTAAGATATTTAGGGACTGAGAATAAATATCTCTAGACCGTGTTATTTTTGGAAGAAAATAGTAAAAATTTCATAGAGCTTCTATTGGCTTGCAGAAGAATTGAGGCACCACAACTCTGCTAGTTTTAGTATGTTCTAAGATGGTTTAAATCTGTGGATTTTCAGTTTCATTAACTTTATTAGTTCAGTAATGGTGTTCAAGAGTATCTCAGCCTAGTTGTTTTAAAACATAGCCATTTATGTTGTTGCTAGATGTGGATTTTATTCTATTTAATTAATAGAAATTTAACGTATTGTACAAGACAGCTATTTGTGTTTCAGCTGATTGGCCACAAGGTGGTACTGTTGTTTCATGCAAAAACAAGTAAAGGATAACTTCTTTATGAAACCTAGACCTGAGTTTTGATAATCTCAGATACAGTGAACTTGCTGTGTCAATGGGAATATAATATACAATGTCCTTATGTTATTGGTAATTTTGATTGTATGGGGGAGGGGTACAGCCTTTCTCTGGCAACATCATTTGTATGTAGCCTAGTTAATGTAATAGTTAACATGCGTTCATATTGTTTGTTCTTTTGAAAGACATAGTAACATGGTATGCTTTCTTCAGAAGTACTACCAGTGAAGGGAAGAGGCAAGAAATCACTTCTTTAGAAGTCGAGGTTTCACTTAGCAGATGAAGAGTGTAATACAGTTTCTTATTAACAGATGTCCATCTCCACTATGTCACAACATAAAGCAAAATTCTACCATGTATCCAAACATATGAAACTATTACAGAAACTAAGCATTAACATGGGCTTTTCTTTTCATTAGAAGTACTGTAAACCACATTGAATTGCCCTATGTTTTCTGAGTATATTCGTAATGAAACCTTTTAGCATTTAATCACTTGAGCTAGTGTGGGGCAATGGTTGCATCATTGGGCTAGAGTTCTGGAGACCAGGCTTTTAACCCCCTCTCAGCTATGGAAACCCAGTGGGTGACCTTGGGCAAATTCATAATTCTGTAGCCTCAGAAGAAAGCAAATTTTGTCAAGAAAGCGCCATGATGGGTTAGCCTTAGGGTTGCTATGGAACCTTACATTATTTTTGCTGCATAAAAATAAAAAAAATATTTTCATAGTGGTGAACATAAATAGTCAAGAAAATGGAAATTGCCTTTGTATCCTTTGTTTTAAGGATTGTAACTCTTTTAAGACTACTAAAAGATAAATCTGATATTCCACATTATATTCCATGCTTCTTTTCTTTATCATTCCTTCTCTTGGTAATGCTATACTATCCCTACAGTAACTTGGTTGAAATAGGATATCATCATCAAAACCACATTACACTTTGAGCCTAATTCATCTGTATTGTCTCGTGTTTATCCTCCTGATGTTCTAGACACACTCCGTTATACATTGACTTCTTCTACTGCACTGATCAAATGCGTTGTTTTGAAATTTTCAGTCAGGAATGTGCAATACATCTGGCACTCTTAACAATGCTATTTATCCCATTCTTTGCCTTTTTCACACGTTCACAGCAGCTTCTATGGAAGCTGCAATGGGTCCGCAGTCTAATATCAGAATGTTTTGCTCTGTATTTATTGTAGGACATAGGTGCTGGAAAAGGGAAATATTATGCTGTCAATTTTCCAATGAGAGATGGAATAGATGATGAGTCATATGGACAGATATTTAAACCTGTGAGTATATTCTGAAAACCAGGTTTGTTATCAGGTTGAATAAGAGGTGAAGGCTTACTGTTAATGTTACTTCTTTCCAGATCATATCCAAAGTCATGGAGATGTATCAACCTAGTGCTGTGGTTTTGCAGTGTGGGGCAGATTCACTGTCTGGTGATAGGCTTGGATGTTTTAATCTTACTGTCAAAGGTAAGAGATTAATACATCTCAGAAAAGCCATAATTGTGTGTACTTTCAAAATTTGTTGGAAATATTTAGTGAGCTTTAGGTTTTTTTGCAAGACTCTGAATTGGGAGACTAAAGAACACCAGATATTCCTCCTTTCTACTGCTTTCTTGCTTCAGCCAAATGGATTGCATTAATTTTTCCTTAACCTATTACTCTTTTCTTCACAATTAGACATTTCCTTGTTACTTTTAGCTCTGTTTATTTTGTTCTTTGTATTTTATTTAAATTTCTACACCGTATCTGATGCATTGAAGTGTCAGTGAAAATCATCATTAAGTGATTGAAAGGTTATAATTCATGCAAGAATTATGACTTGCATGTATGAATACATTGTCAAGATAAAATGTACCACCTTTAGTGTAAATTCTCTATATTGCAGTGGATTACAATTTGAGGTCGTTCAGGACCAGCAAGTCTTTCTGTTCTTGCTGTCTTTCTTTAGTCAGGGAAAGTCTTTTTTATTCTAACTGGCTTTTGAGAACTGGCAGTATGTAAAAAGGGGGCTTTAAAAGTGTGCTGTAGTGTTTTAATGTTGATACTGTTTAATATTTTAATTATATATTTAGATGTCTTTAGTGATGATAGCTGAATTCCATTTTGACAGTGATTTCTTGTATGTTTCACTATATTGTAGTTGTTTCCATTTGTAAGCTGCCTTGAGTCCCGGTTTTGGGAAAAAGTTGGGGCATAGATAATGATTATAACAACAGAAGCAACAAGAATGCAACAACAATAACCACCATCACCACAGCAGTAATATTCAGACAGTTGGGCAGCAGTGGCAGAGAGTTTGGTTGCATCCTTTCATCAATTACAGAACAAGGAGCACCTGAAAAAAGGCCGATAGACATAATAGTGTGATTTTTTTTGTCTGTAATTGTAAATGTTGTTTGGCCTATGTTTTGATATGAATGAATCATTAATGTATACAGTCTTTTGATTTTATTTATTATTTATTCGTATTATTTATTTAAAGCATTGTATACACACCTCCCAGCCCACAAGGGCTCCCAATATTATAAACAAATAAAAACACATTAAAAGAATACCAAGATAAAACATTTAAAATCATGTGAAACAGTTATTTATTTATTTACATCATTTTTAACCCGTCCTTTTCAGCCCGAAGGTGACTCAGGGCTGCATATAGACCGGCAACAATTAGATGCTACATATATATACATATATCAATTAAAAGCAATTGAAACACGTGATAAAATCCATATAAAATCATAGAAGCTATAAAAGCTATAAAAATCTATAACAAACAATGTCTTCCAGTCCAATTCCTCATGCGTTTACATCGTCTTAGCCGTTCCATGTTCATATTCCAATCTTGTGTTTATCTGGTCACGCTAAAGTTCCGAACGCTTGCTCGAAGAGCCAGGTTTTCACTCTTCCGAAAAGTCAGGAGGGAGGGGGCCGATCTAATAGTTAACACACTTAACACCGCAGTTTCAAATTTAGAGTGCCACGTGTAACAGCACTCTTGACTGCCTGCTGTAATCTTTTAAAAGTTGGGGCCAGTCTAACCTCTTTGGGTAGGGAGCTCCATAGTAAATGTGCTGTCATATATCCCCATCAACCTTTTCTGACAATCTCAAATTTCTGGTCAGCTTATATGAGAAGAGGCAGCCTTGCAAATATTTTCATCCCAAGTCATTTAGAGCTTAGTAAGTCAATACCACCAGCACTTTCACTGGAGCTCAAAAGCACATTGGCAGCCAGTGCAGTTCTTGCAAGACCAGTGTTATATGGTCTATCAAGTACATGTTTGTTGCCACTCCACTCCGTTTTGCACTAGCTGCAGTGCAAAATGATGGGTGCTTGACATTATAGGTTCCCATTTTGTAATTTTTTTATCATTTAAGTTGCATTTAGTTTTAATTTTGATAGTGAGGTTTGATCTTGTAGCCTTCATTGTATAATTTTTGATGAACTCTGTGGGACTTACATGACTGCATGTCTTCCTTTTTAATGTTTCTTTGTGTCAGGTCATGCTAAATGTGTGGAAGTTGTAAAGACCTTCAACTTGCCTCTTCTGATGCTTGGAGGAGGTGGATATACTATACGTAATGTTGCTCGGTGCTGGACCTACGAGACTGCTGTTGCTTTAGACTGTGAAATTCCTAATGGTAAATACTCTGAAAAGCATCTCGAAAATAAGATAGTATCACCTCACTCTCCTAAGAAATTGTTTTCAGCCCGAACTTTTGCCCAGCTTAACTATTAGACCTTGCACAGTAACCTTTTCTAACATTGTTTCCAAACTGGCAGAATATATGCATGAAAGGGCACTTAACTCCTGGATGTTTACCAATACTTTTTTTGGTTCTTTATAAAACATACAAAATAATTAAAATGCTGAGCAAAAAACTGTTTTTATTAGCTAACTTTGTATTGTTTTCTCTTTCAAATAGAATTTTAATTATTAAGATGGTAACTTTAAAGTAGAGGTGCTTAACATTAAAAAGTTAGAAATTATGAAAATGCATAGCATAACACTGATTTAATTAGTGCAATTAAAAACATGCTGTAAAAACTTGTGTGTAACTTTTCTTTGCTACAGTGACTGAATTGTTAGGAAGCAGGAAATCTTTTTTGACATAAATGGTAGTTGCAAATGACCTTCCTAGATGGTTGTTTATTTGAGCACAATGTTTTTAAATCACAAATAATCATTATTTAGACCAAGTCTTTGCATACTATTTTCTGTTGTTGTCTTTAATGAAGTTATTTTATCTGAAGTAAGAAGCATTCACCAAAATGGAAAATTATGCTTTCAAAAAGTTGTTGAATATAAAAAAGTCTATGAACCCAAGATCTGTTGTGAAAACCAGCAATGAAGCTGTCTAAGAAGCTGTTTCATATCTGTTTTTCTTTGATAGAATTGCCATACAATGACTACTTTGAATATTTTGGACCAGATTTCAAGCTACATATTAGCCCATCAAATATGACAAATCAGAACACCCCTGAATATATGGAAAAGATTAAGTAAGTATCAGACACTACATTATTTATTTTGTTTGGTTTATATCCCACCTTGTTCTTAAATGAAATTCAGAGAGACTTATGTTTTGATAAGCAGAGTATATAGTAGTGCAACTGTTTGTTGAACCAAAGCATGAGGAATTATTTATTTACCCACAGGGACAGAAGAAGAGAGGGATGATAAGATCCCAAACTCTTGAAACAACAGTTGGAACTACTAATTAAAGAGATGTGGGGAAAAATATTAAACTATTCAGTATTTTATCAGTTTGAAGAAAATTTGTTTTTTTGCTGTTTCAGTCTTTGCCTTTAATCATCATCATCATCATTTAATTACTTATTAATTGCCCTCCATCCAAGATGCTCTAGGTGATTTACAAGCTAAAATTGTAAAGGATAAAAAATGTATACATACAGATATTGATAAAATTAACAAAGATCAAAAGCTCTAGTAAAAAGCCAGGTCTTAAGTGCTAGGGTAAAAGGCCCTAACTCGCGCATGGCTCTCATATAGGGCGGCAAGAAATTCCACAAGGCAGGGGCAGAAATAGAAAAAGTTCTGTGTCTGGTCCTTTCCAAGTGCACTTCTCTAGGACCCGGTATATAAAGTAAGTCACGTTGGGATGGTCGTTGTGACCTCCAATGATGGGAGAATGAGAGACGGTCCGTAAGATATGCTGGACCCTGGCCGTAAAGAATTTTAATAAAAGCCAAAGTCAGAGGAAAAATAATGGGTTTTCTATGGGAATTATTAATTGAAGGAAACTGTTCTGTCAATAGATATATGATATCCCCTAATATTAAAATAATATGCTGTATAGTTAGTAGCTATTAATACATCTCCGTTGGATTTGGATTCCAGCAGTACATTCCAAAAGCTAGCATTGTGTATGCATGATTGCACACAACGATATAGCTGCAGTCACCCATAAATAGCTCATCTTAATATATGGAGGCACAAAAATACTTGTAACTGTAAAGGTTTTATCTGACGTACATCTCCTTTTGGCTATCATATAACAAGGAAACTGCAATAGTTTTCAATCTGTGTTGCCTGCTATGGTCAGTAGACTTTTTTTCCCATAAAAGAATAAAGAAACTCTAAACACATGTTGAGGAGGGAAGTTGTTCTTAATAAACAACTTTTTCCTTGTTTACTTATAGACAACGTTTATTTGAGAACTTGCGCATGTTGCCCCATGCTCCTGGTGTACAGATGCAGGCTATTCCTGAAGATGCTGTTCATGAAGACAGTGGGGATGAAGATGCTGAAGATCCAGACAAACGCATTTCTAGTAAGAAAAGGCCATTAAGATAATTCAGTATCAATGTTGTGCAGGGCTAGGACAACAGAAAAGTGTTGTGATATGTTCACATTATTTAGGTTTTACTTTCTCATTCTTTAATCCCATGGGATCAGTTTAGTTACCAATTTTGTTAGCAGTTATGACTGTTTGCTAATCTCTTTGCTGTCATATTCTGGTATATAATTACTATTATGTTTTCTTCATTCCTCACAAACTGCCACAAATAATTTGTATCTGCTTGGTCATTTCATATTTATTTATTTACTGTATTTGTATACTGCCTTTCTCAGCCAATTGGCGACTCAATGTGGTTTCCAACAAATCAGTATACATAAAACATAATAGACAAAAAAATTTGAGCAGTATAAGACATCATAAAAACAATAAAAGCGACATCATAAGTCTCATATGTCCCACCTGTCTTTGACATGTTATGTCATCCTGTCTTCATTCCTCCCAACCTCCCTCTCTGTCTCTAGCACAACTCTATAGTCAGCTACTGCAAGAGAATTCTGCAGAGCATTTGTAATAGGGTCAGGCTTTTACAGTAACCCCCTATTTAAAGTGGCCACTGGAGTTTCACTGCAGAGAGGCTTATGCAGAAAATCCTTTTAAAAATGGCCCCTTCTGCTCCTCCTCAAGCATCCCAAATGTTCCCAATGCTGATGTCTCTGCTCAGACCAAAAAAGGAGGTGAGGAAAGAAAAAGGCTTTCTTCAGTTTGGACAAGGGATGGGTAATGGGTGAGAGTGGTTCTTACCTCTTCCTCTTGTCACTGTCTTGGTGCTGGATCCCTATTCCGTCATTGACCTGAGCATAAGCCAGCCCATATTTTTGGGAGTGATTTTTTGTCAATTCATGTACAAATATATATGATGTATTTTTCCATCTTATGGGAAAGAAACAATCAGCCTATGATTGAATTCCAGTTGCTGTTTGCAGTAGTAACAGCTGTTACAGATTCTAAAACATCTTGCTGTAAAATAGCAAATAAATAATTGGTAGAGATGCTTCTTTCTTATCAAGGCAAACAGGAACTGCATGCTATTTCCATTATATCTATTACCTGAAAATGAATGGTGTTTTCCATAGAAGGAGTGTGATTAAAACTATAACCCTATTGTCATATTGTTTTTTCACCTTCTGCTGTCTTCTATTGTTCCCCTGACAGAAAAGAAATTACTGACCAAAGTGTGGTTTCTTTTTCTGCTCCTCATACCGCTTCCAGAAAACATTTTATCAAGAAATGTCATACTTGACAGCATTATAATGAATAAGAAATTCACAAAGAAATATTTCATGACTCTTTTATTCTAATATTATTGTTTTAGTCCGTGCCTCTGATAAGCGAATAGCCTGTGATGAAGAATTTTCAGATTCCGAAGATGAAGGTGAAAGTGGACGCAGAAACATTGCAGATCACAAGAAAAGTGCAAAGAAAGCTCGATTAGAAGAAGACAAAAAAGAGACAGAAGACAAAAAAGCAGGTACAAAGTCAATGTCATAATTTGTTTCTTCTCAACTACATTTTATACTGTTGACCTAAGCTTAAGTAAATCCTAAAAGAAAACAAATTTGCTTTATGGTGATACAGATTATCTCAATCAAGGAAGCCATGGTCTTAAATTTGCGAGACCTGAGCAGGATTTCCTTGGTGTCTCTCATTGACAGGAGTGTCATAAGTCATAGCTGACTTGACAGCTATGTAGCAGCCACAAAATATTGCAAGCATTAGGCAAAGTGTACACAGCCTCTAGGTTAATCAGGTTGTGGGCATACTACTATTCGCTGATGTCTTTCTGGATCTACCAAAACAGCTGGGATACCAAGTTCCTTGTAGGCTATGATTCATCACCACTAGAGTTCCTTTTGGTTCGGGCCACAGCTTTTAAATTTCTAGGGCACGCTGTCAGTGTGATTTTCAAACATTTCCAGAAGATAACTTTGACCCATACAAAGTTAATTTCTAATTTAAAAGGTTCATAAATAGACTAGAAAATAAGTTCAATTTCACTTAAATCATCTTAAAAATTTTCACAGCCACTTGTTGACAGCTCAACAGTTATCATTTAAAACAAATAAATTGTAATCCTGTAAACCAAAACTGGAGAAAGTGCAGGTCCTGGACCAGGGTATAGTCCCATTTATGGTGAGTATAAGACCCCCATTGGTAAAGATGTAAAATGTTCATTAATTTTGAAGCCGTGGTGGGATAAAAATAAATTATTATTATTATTATTATTATTATTATTATTTGAATCATAACAAGATGAGTCCACAGCAGACACTCTGCTGGCTGTTGAATTGGATCACACATCAAACACTTCCCAAGTGTCCAGGACTGTGTGATGTATTGGCGAATAATGCGTGCAGATCCCAGTAAGGTGGCCTTCTGCAGCTGGCAGATATCAATATTATCATTATTATTTGGGGGGGGGGGGGGGAATTTGCATGCATTATGGTTTCAAAGTCACTTTGTTACTTTACAAACACAGCATGCATTATGCATAACCAGACTTGGTGTAAATGTATTCTGCCTGATATATTACAATGTAATCAAAGAATAATTGCAGATTTAATTTACTTTTTAATTGTGTTGTTACTATTGCAAATGTAGCTACAAGGCCTGAATTGTAAGGTATACATAAACTATAAGACATCTTTTTATTTTGTTTTGTTCTGGCTCTGCATAAACCACAAAAGCAACCAGTAAAACAGGAGGCAGAAATGTTAGTGAAACAAAGAATATTAATATAGTTCATAATGCTGTATAGTAAAGTGCTCATTTCATTAAAAACTGAGAAGGGAAGAGCAAGGTCAGAAATTGCAATGATGTGAGACCCAATAAATAGTTTTGTATAAAATTCTATACATAGTTTTTATAAATATTATTGGCAACTATAGATAAAATCACTTAAGTATTTTTTCTAGGTCTTCACATCTCTACCCAGGGTCTTCCATCTCTCAAATTTTGAATAGGCATTTTTTAAATAATCAAAGAACATCAAACTGAGTTATCTGAACTCTGGTGTGGGCAGAGGGTAATTTGGCCTGGAGAGGCATTTTCAAAGCAGGAATATAACCAGACATCTGAATATGGGAGATTATAATGCTTATTTTAGTATGCATTCTTTCTAGATATTAAAGAAGAAGATAAATCCAAGGATAGCACTGGTGAAAAGGCTGATACCAAAGGGTAAGTAAGTGGTGGCTGTCCTATTATGTACCTCTGCATCAGAATGTCCGTTAAGTTTCAGTTGTTAATTAATTATGCATGAGAGTAGATCCATGTCAGAAGATATTAATGGTTTTTTTTTAGTTCAAGCAGTGCACCACTGCTTTTAAATGAGTTTAAAACTACATTAAATTGTGACCCATATTAATAGTTGGCTTTCCCCCTCCCTTTTGAACAGCACAAAGTCGGAACAGCTCAGCAATCCTTGAGTGTAAAGCCTCACATCAATTAAAGGACACAATACTAAAGTGAAAAAACTGCTAAACGGAACTTTTTCATATGGGAAGAGACTGTTGATTTTCATTTTGTACAATTCGGCATGGAGCGTATTTATTTTCAAACAACTGTTTTGTTTTTTTGGCAAGTTGTATTGTGTGTTTCCTAATTATGATGCAGAAATTTGTTCCTTCCACCTGGCTTTAAGTAACTATTTAAAATGGATGTGAGTTATTATGTTAAATGTCTACTCATCTGTTAAAATTTGCCTTTTCCTGAACTGATTTTACCCGTTTTGTATCTATATCTTTATTAAAAAAATGTACTTGGCTGCCTTGTCTGTCATTGCCTAGAAATCACTTGTGTAAATGTCGCACCAATAAGATTATTAGGAGATTCTTGAATGATGCTTGAATTTGTCTTGAGGTGTTTAAAACTCCTTAAAAAGAAAACTCAGGTTGAAAATGAATGTTGGTTTCCGTGAGAAATTTCTTGAGAAAAAAAATTCTTTGAAGCATTCTCGTAAACTAATTAAATTTCAGTCATGTTCAAGATTTCGGTGTTAAAGAAATATTGATAACTCACAGTATCTTGGAAATTGAGAGGCATTTCCATCATTAAGAAATCTGAGTACGTGAGGATAAATAATGCCCTATTCTGTCTGTAACTACTATCTTGTCTTAAACATCCTTCAGTTTGATTAGTGAGACCTGCACAATATAGAGCTCTCAAAGAAGAACACATTCCCCGTCTGTGTATCTTAGGCAAACTCCCCACCCTTGCACTTCCAAATCAACACCTAAGTGTGATCTTCAAATCCTGGTTAATGGACTTTGTTATGCAGCAGTGGCTCTGAGCTGTTGCAAACTGTGGACTTTCCATCTCTGGGGGTCTTTAAATAGAGATTGGATGGGGAGTATTTCATTTATGTATTCCTAGAGAGTAGGAGGCTGGACTAGCCTTTCTTGCTCCATGAGTCTATTATTTTAAATCTTTCGCTATCAGCCAACTACACAACTGTGGGCAATTTTCCTGCCATTAGGTCTCTTTCAGTTCTGCCTCTTTTCTCTTCACACACACTTTCTAATATATAGCCACATTCTGATCTGGGCTTATTTGCCAGATTTACAGTGCAATGCTGTATATTCCTGCTGGGAACAAAGTCAGAAGAAGTTCAGAAAAACTTATTGCATGGCATACTTGCGTAAGTTTGTAGCCTTATCCATTGGTTTGTCATCTTTTCAAACATGGGGGGGGGATATTTAATTTGTTTCTATTTATTAGCAGAAGCAAGAAAATACTAAAATTCTTAGTTTTAATCAGGAGCGTATGTATGACCACTTTACCAATTAGTTGTATAAATGTTCTGATCAGAGCTCAAAATATATGGCTTACTTTCATAATCAGGTATTATTTTCTACCAGTCAGTTGTTTCAATACAAACTCACATAAAACTTGCAGCAGTGCTGTGTTAAATTTCTAAAGATTGAGGTTTTGATTCTTAGATGTGCTTCTTAGAGGCAAGCACTTGTGGTTAATGCACACTTTGAGCTAAACCACATTGTCCCTCCTTAGTGCGGTTTCATAGGTTTGTTTTTTAACACACTAATTTCATGTAATCTATTTGGCAACATGTTTATTGTAAAACATGAGTGACAACACCAAAATGGACACCACCTATATCATGGTCCAAACTCTCTCCCAATTTGTTGCAGTGATTAATTTTCTCTTTACTAGAAATAATTTGCATCAGTCTGCTCAGCCTCATTGGCACATATATCAACACAGATGGTATAGAGAAATACAGTGGGCAACATTATAAACTGGTTGTTAACCATCTGCAGCAGCTTTTATCTACATCACTTGATATTCTAGGTTGTAAATAATGACTTAAAAAATCACATTGAGTATATTTCTAATGAATGCCAAGAATAGGGTCTCTGAGCTGGCAGTGGGGCAGGCAGAAATAAATGTGACCACCTAGCTTTTGTAAGGGTGCCAGTATTTTCCCACTGCCAGGAAAAGCCCATGACTGAGCTGCAGGCAAATTCCACATCATGCATTTGCCAGTTGACTTCCTTATGGGTAATTCATGTGTTCATCTGGTCTTCATGTAATGTCTATTTTTAGAAAGTATGCTTCAAATCAAATTTTGTTTTAAAAGCTTTTAACTGTTAAGTTAAAAGAGTTCCTGATCAATAAAGACAGAAGTGATAGAACTGGAAATACTGGAGGTTGTACATATGCTTTGGATTCAAAAGTTCCAAAGTACATAGGTTTGTTCACTTCCAGTTAGCAAAGTGTCTTGGGTGCATAGTTGGAAAACCCTTTGTCTGGATTACGAGTAGAAAACTGCAAAGTGGAGATGCGTTTGCCTTCCTTCTTCCTGGCTAAAAAAGGGGGTGCAATGTCTTTCCCCAAGTGTGTAAGATGTTGTTCCATAACCAGTGTAGACTTATGATTCAGTTGCCAGTCTCTTAACTGGTATGGGAATGGAGATTGAGCCATCTGGTCCTTTTCTTCAAGCAACAAAATGTGTGGAATAGAAATCTCAGCTATCTCTGTTATATGGAAGTCTGTGATATGCAAAATTATCCCTTTCACTTAATTGCTGAAGGGAGAAACCAGGTTTTGTGTTGAGCCTGGCAATATCTGTTGTGGAAGGATGTGTTGCACAGAAGGAAAAGGGCAGAACAGATGAATGTTGGGGGCATGGGGCCAGCATACCCTTAAGCAATGGAAATGTTTTCCAGGGATTTAGATTAAAAAGGAGATAGTTAAATTGTTGAAGTAGTATCAATGGATGGGGTAGTAATTCAGTATAAAGGGAAACTCCTGCCATACAACACAGCTTGAAGTCTGCAAATGAAGCATACTGTCAGCATGGCTGTGGGCCTGTTTTGGCTCCAACAGAAGCCTGGAAACTTTTCAAAGCCACATGAAGAGCTGAAACATATTATACCATAAATATCATTCCTGTGGCAACTTATAAGTGAGCTGTGTTGTCTCTCTGCTATTACATTTGGAATGGCGTGCCCACAAAGATGATTTTCATTATATGACGAGTCTCCATGTCAGTTCTGTATCCCTGGCATCTGTGGTGAGAGGTGTTCATATGGAGATCCGCATAGTAAGCCAATGTGAAATATTACATTGATATGTGTCCCTGAAGAGGACCCACTGCAAAAAAAGTGCTGATTTTGGACTTATCCTTGTGGCCAATAAGAAATGGTCTCAAATGTTCAAACGTAGATTTGAAATAGTTCCATGCTTATTTCTGAGCTGGTTCAAGCCACAGCAGTGTTCAGATTTCATACCACTAACAAAGCTGCAAAATGTCTTGAATTCCATTGTATACCCTTTTGTGCTGGCTCTGTTCTTTTCGCATCAAAGCAGTATGTTTTCTTCATGAAAAAACCACTGTGATCTTTATTCCAGCACTACAAGTCATTCCTTTAAATACAGACTCTGGCCCTAATCTACACAAGCACTATATTTGACTGGAGACCAGCTTGAGATTGGGTTGTCTTCAAAACATTAACTTCCAATGTGATTTCCAACCGCAATCCAACTGGAAACAGCGTGTTAAAAAACTCATCAGAAATGCAGGATCACACCATAAAATGCTCTGAAGTTGATCGCTGTATAAGCAGTGCATAGCTACAAAGCAAAGGAAGAAGCATTTAGAGTGTTTGTCCGGAGAGGGTTAAATTCCAGGTGTCTCATATGGAATTAAGACTGGTATGAAGGTAAACAAATGCCTCACCTGAAAGGAAAAGACACAATTCCCATAGGAGCACTCAATTGCTATCTGATGTCTCGCTCTCCTCCAAACAAACACTGTTTTCAGCCAGCACGTTTGCTGGAGGAGCCACAAAAAAATTACTGCAGGATGTGGATAGGACCTGATTATTGGTGTTTATGGACTCTGTGGGAGCTTGCAACCAGTTTCCAGAGTGCCTGTGCACTGAATGTCTTCGATCTACATCCTGAATCAGAGTACATGGCTGTGTACTCACACCCACCCCCAATAGAGGGTTGTCAATGTGTGTAGTTACAAGAGCTCTGAGGTCTATAAAATATAAAAATAATCTTTAAAAAAAACTTGAAATGGAAACAAACAGGCATTGATATACAGAGACAAGTTAGAGGACATTAGATTGGGCACAATGAGTGTGGTGCAAGGATATTTATTGTGTTGGAACAGTATATTTATTAACCTAGCAGACTTTTTCCCTTCTGCAGCTTACACACCCTTCCCAGATCTCCATCTGTTGAGAGCTTCTGACAGGTCTGGAAGTCTGCAAACAAAGTGCATTACATTGATAGAAATCCACCAGAGTAACATATATATGATTGCACGATAAAAAAAAGACATCATTTTCTTGTTTTAGTTGCATTATCTTACCATATTGTTTTTATTTTTACACAATTTATTTGATTTATAGCCTGTCTGAGCTACAGTTTCAGGTACATTCCATTTTAACATGTTAAAATGAATTGAAATGGGCATGATGCCATTGACATGGATTTCATATCAGGAAGAAAGCAGGATGTAACAGTCAGCTGCGTAGTGAGTACTTAAATTTAAAAAAAACTTTCAGTAATAATGTGTGAAGAATGAGTTAAAGCATTTTATTTATCATTGCATGGTTCAGCTTATCAAATTCCTTTCTTACTTAGGTCTCTATGATTTTATGTGAGCAGGTAACAGTTGCTCTTCTTTCATCCAAATGGCAAGATTTCTTCATATCCTGCTCATATTCTTCTACCAGAGAACCTCTAATGTGCCTTCTAAATGTTCTTTGTTTGGAGGATGGGTTGTTCATTTGCCTGAGTAAGCAAATTGTCTTTATGTGACATGATCTTAAATTGCTCCTCTTCCACACTTTGAAATCCTATCTGGGGATGCATGACTGTTGTATACCTTTGTGCTCATAGTATCTGGCATTTTAAAAAACAAGTAACATTTTGTAAAATTCACCTATAGAAATTAGAAATTGCACTTATAGAAATAATGTGGCTTATGCAAGTTCTTGCAAGTTCTTGGTGGGATGGGCATACCAAGCCACCTTGTCTCTCTCCTGAGGAATCTACAAGGACCAAGTAGCAACAGTAAGAACTGACCACGGAACAACAGACTAGTTCAAGATTGGGAAAGGCGTACGGCAAGGCTGCATACTCTCACCCAACCTTTTTAACTTGTATGCAGAACACATCATGCGATGTGCAGGGCTTGATGAATGCAAGCTGGGGTGAAAATTGCTGGAAGAAACATTAACAACCTCAGATATGCAGATGACACCACTCTGATGGCCGAAAGCGAGGAGGA